AATATGCTGACTCTGTAAACCGCTTAGAGAGGGCTGAAAGCCCTATGAAGCCGTATATAAGTCTAACTGCTCTTGCTATTGCTATTGCTATAACCAGTGGAATGCTTCACTTAACAACGGTGGCCGAAAAGGTCCTCAACTTGGCCATAATTCACTTACCAACCCTCTTGCCCCAGAAATATCGGGCTCCCTCGTAAGTTGTACGTCGAAGATTTCCTGTATGGAGGGGAATTATTATCTTTAGTCTCCGCTCGACGCGGCCCGACTTTCACAAGGCTCCGCTGGCGACACTGAATGAACCCTAGCGAGGATTGTGACCTGTGTCCTTTTGTCATTGCGGGGCTGTGTTTGTGTAATGTGGTCTGGGACGTTGTGTACGTCGGCCGTTCCTGCTCGGTCAGAGGGGAAAGATTATTTCCCTGGTTCAAAAGCTCAGGTGATTTGGGGGAAAGGAGGAGGGAGAATACAGGCAGTCCTCAACCTACGACCAGAATCGAGCCCGGAATTTCTTTTGTTGAGCGAGACAGTTGCTCAGCAACTTTTGCTCCCTTTTTACAACCCTTCCTTGCCACGTTCTGTTAAGTGAATCGCGGCAATTCTCAATGACACGGTTGTTAAGTGAATCTGGTTTCCCCTTTTGACTTCTGACATGACTCCGGGACACCGCTATCTTCATAAATATGAGTCAGTTGCCAAGCGTATGGATTTGGATGACGTGACCCTGGGGAGGCGGCAATGGTCGTGAGTGTGAAAATTGGTCGTAGGTCACTTTTTTTTCCCCAGTGCCGTTTGTAACTTTGTACCGTCGCTAAATGAACTGTTGCAGATCGAGGGCTACCTGTAACAGAACAAAACCAAATGGTTTTTTCTTTTACAGACCAAATAAAAATCAAGGGAACTGAAAATGTTTCCGGTGCTTTTTATGAACAGGATAAGAGACGTGGAAGGGACCTTGGAGGTCTTCTAGTCCAACCCGCCTGCTTAGCAGGAAACCCTGGCCTGTACCATTTCAGACAAATGGCCTTCCAGTCTCTTCTTAATAGGATGGGATAGGATAGGATAGGGGAAAGAAGAATAGAATAGAAATAGAATAGAATAGAAATAGAAGAGAATAATGGATAGGATAGAATAGAATAAAATAAAATAGAGGAAAGAATAGAATAATGGATAGGATAAGATAGGATAGAATAGAGGAAAGAATAGAATAGAATAATGGATAGGATAGGGTAGGATAAGATAGGATGGGGGAAAGAAGAATAGAATAGAATGATAGGATAAGATAGGATAGGATAGGATAGAGGAAAGAAGAATAGAATAGAATAGAATAATAGGATAGGATAGGATAGGATAGGATAGGATAGGATAGGATAGGATAGGATAGAATAGAGGAAAGAAGAATAGAATAATGGATAGGATAGGATAAGATGGGATGTGGGAAAGAAGAATAGAATAGAATGATAGGATAAGATAGGATAGGATAGGATAGAGGAAAGAAGAATAGAATAGAATAGAATAATAGGATAGGATAGGATAGGATAGGATAGGATAGGATAGAATAGAGGAAAGAAGAATAGAATA